ATAAAATTATTACTTTTTAGTATTCTAATTTTAAATTAATAATACTAATATGTCATCTCGGTGACAATTACAATCCTGTGTGTGAATGCTACAAAAGTGTTTGATAGGAGATTCTAACAAAAGTAAACTATCCACGGACCACGTGTATGTTAAAATAAAAAAAGTTTGCATTTATGCGGTTTAAAATTAAAAATCTTATTTCGCGTGAAATATGCGAGAAATGCGCATAAAATCTGGAATGCGAGCTTCATTAAAAAATTTGGCAGATAACTTTTTTTTACACACACACACTCCAACGTAATTCCTCTTAATTAGCAAATTTAAATATAACTCGTGGTTTTGCACGTTATTTTTCTCGCATCAATTTTATCAAATTTTGTTATGGACCTACATAACTTTAATACAGAAAAAAATGCATATAATTTTATATAGATTGAGAGATTATAGAGATGAGACAAAAGTTTATGTAGATTTAAAACTTTTGCAAATATATATGCGCTTTATTAAAAAAAACTAAATTTATGATGATACTAGTTGATTAAAGTTTGATATCAAATCAAATATAAAAATACTATAATCTTTCTTTATCAAGTGTGTGTATATATATAATTTAGACTTCAGAGTTCAAATTAATACAAAGGCACAAGCTTTCGATTCTTTTTTGTAAATAATTTTACTTATATTCTATCCCGACATTTGTCTTGTTACATTCTGGTATTCGTTTTGCCGAACTGCGAATAATTTTGAAGGTCGGAAGAGGAGAGGCGGAAAGCTGCAGAGGAGGAACGCCTGCAGCTCGAAATGGAAGAGAGGAAAGCGTGGGAGGCACTGCAGCTTGCACAAGAACGGAAAGCCGAGCTTGGCGAGATACTGGAGACCGAACGGCAGGAAGTCGAGAGGAAGGCGGAAGAGGCGAAGCTACAAGCAGAACGCGAGGAAACGGAGAGAATAGAAGAGGGAGAGAGGTGTGTGTCATTATTTAAAAAAAAAGCTCCCATATGTGATGAAGCTTGCCCCTAAGATTAATAATAAAAATTTTTAAAAATTAAAATCATACGAATTAAAGAAAATGATGTGCTCTATAAAGGCTCTAAAAAATATATAATAATTATATATTCATATAATAATTTTATATTTAATCAATATTTTCTATTATGTTTATATATCGTACTGCTAATGTCTAATTCGCTCTGTTACTTTCTATCGACAGATTAATTAACCAGGAGAAGCTCGCAGCACTCATACAAGAGCAAGAACGGCTGATAGTCGAGGAACATCTCGAAGAAATTCAGAAGCAGAAACAGGAGCAGGAAGAGACGGATACCGCGCAGCTTCCAGTTAGCGAGCTTAACGATATCAGCGGCGCCGAAGATCCAGTGGACCTTGACGAGATAACTAATCAGGAAAAAGAGGAAAAGCCCTGCGATGTTACCACAGATGACGAAACACGGGTAAGTGATCACCTAAAGCATCCTAAAGATTTATACTTTCCTTTAAATCGTCGATTATGATATTGTATATCCGATGCATAAAATTCTAAGTCGTAAATTTTAATAATATTAAAATGTATATATATATTTGTAACATTGCAGACATTTTTTAAGATTAGATAATGTTAAGCTCTTATATTTTTTCAGAAGAATATTATTTTTTTAAATTAAATATATTCATATGTGTATACGTCGGGATAAATTTCTGTCGAGAAAGAATAGAATTTGAACTTATTCAAGAACCGATAGTTGAAGAGACCCGTCGAGTTAAATCGCAAGGAATCCGCCTTTCAGATTGAGGAAGAGAACGTTCCCGAAGAAGAACACTTGGAGATAACCGAAAGTCCGTTCATCGAGGAACCAGAAGGGGCTGAAAGCAAGTCGCAAACGGGGCCGATGGCGGTCGAAGATGAACCGCAAATCGAAGAGGTCACTTCCGGCGAGGAATTCGAATGGGGTGATCAGGACGCGTAATTGAAGTCCGGCCGGTTCGGACTCGCAATGTCGATGGACCATGTTCCTTTATCGTCATCATTAATGCTAGGATTTCCTAAGCGCCTTCCTCTATCGTTTTCGCAAACATCATTTAAACCGTCATCATCGTAGATGTCCGATCGGTGACGTAATGAAGAAACCTTAATTAAATTTTTTGTAATATCTAATCTGATCTCTTTTATTTTTATTTTTTCATTATTCATTAAATATTTATTTCACGTTCCATTAATACACATTTCGTTGTGAATTTTATTTCGCGTTGCGTTACGTTAATCACATTAAAGTATAATTCGCGTGGATCGATATCCGAGTCTAAAACTATAAAAATTCCAACGATTATTTTCAACTAATTTCAGAAGGGCCGATTGGAGACTCGTTTGTGGTCTCGTGTCATCTGCGCGAATTTATTTCATTACTGACCATATACCTTCCATATTATCTCGTATCGGAGAACGGCAACCCGTAGATCGAGTCTGACATGAGTATCGATTTCCGTTGGTCTGCCGGTAGTGGGGTGATGATGATTTGTTTATAGTCTCGGATAGTATTCGGGTAGAAATATCGCGACGAATTTTAGCCGTTCATTCGAGCAGTCGAGCTGGCTTCGTCGTCGTCGTCTATTTTTACAGTAACAGCTTCCAGCTCCAACCATGAAATTGATTTGACTGCGATTGTCCGAGCAATCGATTCAGAAGGACGAGGATTCCGGAAATAATCGAGCGAGCACGTTGATAATTAACGTCCATCTCGTGACTCCTCGTTGCTCAGATATGACAGCCCTCACTTTATCTCTAGTGTATTATATTTATTATAAAAAATAATATTTATTATAAAAGAGAGTGTGTGATAATAATGCAAGTAATCAATATGGAGTTCGCCCTGATTTAACACACATAGAACTGGAGAAGTTTATCTTTTCCGCTAAAAGCGTTGTGAAGAAAAAATTGCGAATTACAGAATGTGTGTAATGGTTATGTGAAATTAATTTTTTAATTAACAAAATCAGGCATAAACTTAACGTATTATAAAATTTCCATATGCCATTGATACAATAAAACAAAACTGATAGATAGATATTTTCGATACAAAAAACAAAATATACTCTTACTATCCTTTTATTCCGGAAAATTCCTTGCTGTTTTCTGCCGTGAAAGACTCAAATTTAAAATTATACGTAAATAAAGTTGCATAATATACTAGAAATAATCGACATCGTTGTGTGCTGTGTATAAAAAATAAATAAAATAAAAAAGTATTTAAACAAGAAATTAATAAGTAACGACTTCATCAATATTTCATTTATGTTGTTATATTTAATGCGCACACTAGTAATCGGACGTAGCACGCAATGTATACTCACGTAATGCCTATTTTTATTTACGATTAAAGACAATAAAGATTATAAATGTTAATGTTTAGCAATGATGAATTGATTTTACCTCGCATAATACATTCACAATTAATGAAATATTAACAATTAGCATAAAATAAAATTAAAATTATTATAATCAATATATAATACAATATATGAATATAATTTAGAATATTTTTTACCATTTGACAATTTTTTTACATTGTAATTATTTTTATAATTTTAATAATTATCATAAAAATATATTAATCATTATTATCAACGTTTCTAATTTAATAGAAGATAAAGAAAGTATTGTAATCAAAAAATTAAAAAAAAATTGCTTTATAACCATACAAGAAACGAAACTTTTAAAATTCTCGAGCAAACAAGAGAATCTCATTTTCGAGTTTATGTTGATTCATCCGAGTCAACATCCCTTTGGAAAATCTCGCAATCGTTCACCCGCCAAATAATCGACTCCTGGATGGAGCGTCTCGCGAGGAAACGACGTGTTCGGAAGTTGTAAATCGCAGCTGCTCGTAAACTTATCGTCGTCTCGCTCGTGTCAAGTGCCTGGAATTTTCGCGGATGTTTTTCGCATCGCGTGTATAAACACACGAGGAACATTTCGGTCTCTGTCGAGGGCGATCGGGCCGAAGTGGGCCAAACCGCGTTTGGCTCAAAGGAAGACCTGACACGGCTTCAAAGCAAAAACCAGGTTAAATATGTGTGCCAACATACCCGTCCAGCTGAGAAACACCGAGGGCACGATTGTAAATGTATGCACGTCATGCGTCTACTGTCATCGCACAGAGCATAGTGGTAATACTGCGGTTCTTACATTGACTGTGACTAGTGTGTGTGTGTGTGTGTGTGTGTGTGTGTGTGTGTGTGTGTGTGTGTGTGTGTGTGTGTGTGTGTGTGTGTGTGTGTGTGTGTGTGTGTGTGTGCAGATCGAGCCAGCAAAACGCGTCGCTGGAACAAAATTATTTATAATCGAGACGCTTCCATCGCACCACGCTTAATCAATCTCGGTGCGCGCAAAAAGCTACCGTTAAATTAACAGACTCTAAAACCGACGTCAACCGGCGAACTACCGAAAGCTTTTTACTGCACGAAAAAGTAGTTGGCGATGTTATATATTAAGCCATCGCGAATGATATCTACGTCAGATTTCGAGGAAAATTGCATTTTGCAATTTTCAATTGACCAGTCATGTCAAAAATTAATTCTTAGCCATTACTTTTAATTTTTTATTCTTATTTTCAATTTCTTGCCGTTTAATTTCGTCGATTTCTTTCAGCAATAGAGATAGGATATAAATATTTTCAGACACAAGCCTCTTCTCGAAATATAAACTCGAGAGCTGAGCCGACCGATTTCTCGACAAATAATCCGAAACATCACGCTGACCTAATTTCTCGCGAAGTTAATAACTCAACGGTCGCCCCTAAGAGTCATTCAGCTTGGAAACAGTAATAAGACAAATTCCGACGCGCTAATCCTTGGACGCGATTAATTGGCGGTCTTGGCCGACGAAAGCTCTCGGAGCAGCTTTTGAGCGACTTTCCCTCTTTTTGTATCTCCATACAACGGCCTTGATGTCTAACACCGCTAAGCCGAACTCATTAATCTGGATGAAGCTTCGTGGGTGTATAGAATGACCCAACTCGTGAATCATACTTGTAATATTGCCATTGCAAAATATGACTTAAATCTTTAAAAATACAAAAAGTTATACTAATGTATTATAATACACATATCTAATATATTTATATATTTTGTATGTCTCAAGTAATCTAAATATCTTTAAGTATTAAGTCCAAGCTCTCTCTTTCCTAAGGTCACTTATTGCGTCCTTTAACCTTGACGAGGGGTTGCGCAACTTTGACGTCTTTCGGACTTGATAACGAGAAAAAGAATATAACGTTCGCGACTACGACGGTAGTGTTGTGAGTTGCGTCATTATCCGAGATTAAACGTGAGGTTTCTTTTGGAAAATCGAAGAGGAGGAGGAAAAAAGAAGAAAAGAGCGTGGGTGGAAAAATAACTGGCTGCCGTGACCGCGCGATTCGCGGCCGTGCACTTCGTCAACGAACGAGCCGGTTTCTTTTTCTCGCCGGGGAAAACACAACAATCGTCGTCAACAATTGCCGTGTTTACGTCCGTCGCGGTCGCGACGGCCAAGGGTAACAATGGCAGCCTCCTATCAAACCGCGACGATTTATACGTAGCAATGAAATCTTTGCCGATTGTGTCTTGACTTTTAAGATAAAAAATCGAGAGAAGAAAGAGAGTAGCTCGGAAAAACAGCCGATATTTCAGCCAGAAATTTGCTCTGATTAAATTGCAGGCTCCAAGTTGCGTTACATCTGTATTACGCCTAGACGATCGTTTGATTCAAAAGATCCGTTAAAAAAATAAAATAAATATGCTCGGTTTTGCTCTAAGAATGACCAATAAGTATTTAAATAAATAATTAACAAGTAAAGAATATTTTTTTCTTCAATCAAATATTTGATTTATTTCATATTTTGACTTTTTTTTAAAGAGATATTAGAAAATTTGGGATATTCACAATATCATTAAAAGATTAATTTTCCAAAGTCGTTATATTTCATGATTGTAAAACAAGTCATGGTTTCTCAATGACACCGTATAATTTACTGGATAAAAAAGGAGGGGAGGACAGCCGTATGTATCATCGTCAAACGAATAATCGCTTTAAATGTCCGCGTCGCAAGCGTCATAATTTTCGGAAGTGAGCTCCAAGATTAGCGTCTATTGACGTCACGTTCGCGACAATAAAAAGAGGGACTGACGCGGGTTTCACGAGCATCGTATCACTGACAATGAATTGTCACGATAGCGAGTTTCAAATATATGCTGATAGTATAGAATGACCAAAGAAATTTGTGTAGGCAATTAACTATAATAGCACTTGCCATAATATAATTTTTTTCCCATCATACCTTTCTATCATATAAAAAATATTTTTTTTTTAATTTTTAAATAGATTTTATTATATTTTTATATAAATTATTTTCACATTATAAAAAATATTCGCGTCCCAACACGGTTTAATATCATGTAACTAATGTAACTGATGAAATTCAATCTACGTCTATGATATAATCAGTTCTCTGCTTATTACAGTAAGACTAAATAAGCGGATTTAAAGTTAATATGAAAAAGCTTCGTTTCGTAGAGCAACATAATGATATCTCCTTGTCTCATAAAATACTCGTTCTTCCCAGCAAAGTATTTACGAAAGTATTGCACTGCAACAAATGACTGAACTATTCACTCTTAAGAGCAAATAAAGATTTGTGTAAAAAAGTTCTTTCCCACATTGTCGACATTATCATCTTGTTTTTTCATTTCATAGTTTATAAATTAAAAAATTCTAGCAATCTATATATCAATATTCGAGATATTAAAGCAATATCTCTCTATTATATGAGAATAATATATCCGTCAATATTTTCGTTGAAAAAAAAAATAAAAAGAGAATATAAAGTAGAATAAGTAAATTTTTGGAATGGCAATATTTGTGTAAAAAATATATATTTTCAGTAAAATTATTTTTTAAACAATGATAGAGCATACAATAATAAATGGAAAAAAGAGGAAAGTATAAATAATAGAAAAAATTTTGCGCATATTTATTTTGCAAATAAATGGAGTCATACACGGATAATTCCGATATCGATATTCTTATCAATTCTCAACTTGACGTGGATATATTCACTGTTTCTTTTTTTTTGTCTCTTTGAAGCGGTTTACCCGCACTTAACAAATTTCAGTCGATCGTGTATTCTCTTTACGAGCTCCTTTACGTAATATCCACGTCGCATCGAGCTATCGTTTATCTCTCTGGCGTGGCTCCCAGTAGATTTTTCAACATTCTCTTCGACAGACGTCTGCAACTTACAATTGGAATGTATATTTTATTCCTTCGTGCGTCGACAGTAACTTTTCTTGCATCATATTCATCGGTACTAAATGTCAAAAACGTATCTTCGCGATGCCGCTTATAAATTTAAATGCACTCGCGCAAACTATCGAAGAATGGATGTTGAGATCTAATTCATGCGATCGTATAATATATCTCTTTAGTATTTTTCTCTTTACTTCTCGAGAGATATTTATCTTATTTTATTACTATTAAATTACAAAATACTGTTTGTACAAACTAATTAAAATTTTGAAACAATCTTTTTTCCACCTGTTAATATCTACTGTTTTGGAGTCGACATATATATCTATTCTCTAACGAGCTTATTTTTAAAAAATACGCTGTATCTATTACATCATCATTAAATATTTAAATATCTACACTTGCGCGATATTGCAATCGATAAATTCATTAGAAGATGAACGATTTGGCTGAAACATGACAGGTAGATAAGTAATAAAATATTACTATTACTCCCATGCACGGATTATATGGATTACGATCTGTTTTAGATCAATTATCCGCTTTTGCAAAAATCAGGGGAAAGAACGAGATTATGTGCTTCAGAAGAAAACTTTACCTTGAGCGTAGAAATATCTACGGAATATTTTTCTCCAGAGGAAGAATATCCTTACTACGGGCTGTATGTGGGCGCGCACATCTCCGCCACGCTACGGCGCCGTGAATCCAAGGTTTTATTACGGACATGATGCGTCGATTATCGAAAATAGAAGTAGCAAGCAGCTACGACTTTCCGTCGGAGACGAAAGACGGAAAACGATGAGCTTGAGTTCCGAGATTCCCGGCATTTCGAAGCCGTTGTCTGGCGCCGGTAAATTACGGCGCGTGTATCGCCGCTTGGAAAACGCACACGTGTATTTCGATATTTTTATTCACATGATAAGAGGACACGCGGAATAATAAGATATCTTATATTTCACGTAAATTAACAAAATAGGATAAGATTGGCAAGATAAAAAAAAAGTCGATAATAAAGGCATGGTTGATTCAAATTCCAATTGTGTTTCATTCACTTTAATTCAAACTTCGTCGATGTTGAATTGTATGCTGAATTTGGTCATGGACTAATTTAATAATATCATCCATC